TTTTTTCTCCGTTCGATTCGATAAATAAAATCACGCTGAGCAACTAAGTCGAATTATCTCTTATCTTGTCCGACAATTGGCGACAACTTGTACGACGCGGAACATTTGATATTGCAACAAACGTGAACAGTTCACGTGTTAATTCAGCTTTGTTCTCACGTTTCACTGCTACCGAGTTCGATTAAACATTTCAAACCTGACGTCACTTCGCAGTACTTGCCAATTTGCATTAACATTTTCAACCGGAAGCACAAGGCTAGGGAGAGACAAAATCGAAACGGAGACGATAAGGTGGAGGGAGATAGAAGAAGGACAGAAGTAATGAGGAAAAATTGGTTCGTAGACTTACGACTGATTGGTTCGAAGGGATTTGCGTCGGATTTAGACGCAGAATTGCTGTTCACTTTGTCACAATTGGAATAACGATGACTGTGTACGCAACGTATAGCGAATTTAAAAAAAAAAAGGAAAAATGGGATTAAATTAGATAAACAATCCTCTTTATTTTCTTCTTTTTTCTTTACTATGCGAAATGATATCGACAAAACTCACGAAGAAAACAATTGCTTAAACCGTACAAAAAGATGTTTCATTGAGTGATACGAGTCTCGTGGTCGCTATTTAGAAAAGAAGGGAATAGTGTCGCCTTGCGACGTGCCATCGACCACTGTGGAACCTTGTTCAGCCATTGCTGCTTACCTTTCCTTGGCCCTTCACTAAATAATTAAGGCTAGGTCTAGAATCTGAAACTTCATTTTTATGTGAATCCATAGAACCATCAATTCTGTCACAGCTTGTTTGTCTTCCGTATGAGCAAAGGTAACCGCAAAGCGAAACCGTAATTGGCCATAAAAAAAGGCAATGTTAATTACGCGACAGTATTCAAACGGTACTTTTTAGTCGAGATTTAAAGTCCATTTACAGTTAGACCTTCGTTCCAGCCTTTTCATGATGTTGTTTTTCGTAACGGAAATATGCTAAATGGTAGGTAAGAAAAAATATAGGAAGGAATACGAAGTTTGGTCGTAACCAAAATGGCGATAGAATCTCTTTGTTTTACCGTGTCGTTTAATGAGATAAAACGATTGTTGAAGTATGCACGTCGCGATGAATCACGGGGAGATAAATACAGACGTTCTGACTTTAATTTATGCATCAACGTTGTTTCATTGCAACGACACCTTCTTCGACGAAAAAAAAATCAATTCTCGTTGGAAAATGGCAAATTCCTCCCGTTCCTTTTCCCCCGTTCGTTCTTCTTGTTGCAAGATTTTACCACAGTCAATTACCAGCCGCATGGTTTATTTTCCTTCTCACGTAGAAATTGACAATTTACGTTGCTTTATTCTCTCCTGCCGCGATTTTCGAAATTTTGTAAACTGTGGTCGCGCGAAAATTTAAATACGACAAGCGTAATAAAATTCGAGACTGGCAATGCAACGATGCGTTTGATGAATGTTAAAGATTCGAAAATTATCAAGTTCAAAAGTTTGAAAATGAAAAAATTCGGAGGTTTAAGAACCGAAAAATTAAACAAACGTTTAATTTAAAAAAAATTGATTTTTTTTGGCCGGTTTTTTTCAAAAAAACTGTGCGTTAAGGGGTTAATAATTTGTAAATTCCAAGCGGAAAATCTCTTTGCCGTTTGAATAGCGCAAAATTGTGATATACAGTTCGAAATTTTGTTTTGCATTTACTTGGGAAATGTCGAGCGGATCGCAGGATAATTGAAATACTGAGTAAAATTGCGTTTGAATGAAGGGCGGTAATGATTTCACTCCGCGAACATACTCTTTCTACTAATCGACGAATACTTTGGACAGGCGATCGATTATTTCTCAACTTTTTGTCCGTTGAGAAACCGAAGAAACCAGTTTCGCGTGTGTAAGGCATTTCCTCGACGATGTTAATTCTACGTTTGAATCGATATTTAATGAGTCTACGACTTTGATGCTCGACAGGTTTAATGTACTTCAAACGAACATTTAATTACTCGTATTGAGACGTCCAAGTTCTCCGTCATTATCACACAACGCACCGTTATGATTAATTGTACCGGAGAGAACAGACGTTGTCTTCGGGGCGAATTTTCAATTGAACGATTAGAACGAAAATATTAGGTCATCCCATAAGTTCGTGTCGAATTTTATGATTTAGATGAATATTTCCAACGAGCCTTTAAATTTGATAAAAATAGTGTAACCTTATTCTCATTCCACAAATTCTTCCTATTTTTTTGGTAAGATCATTATATCGTCGCTGTAGAATTTCCTTGGATTTTCATTCAAATATTTTTCGCTTTCGGCACGAACTTATGGGATGACCTAATAATTGAGAAATTTTAGATGTTGAAAAAGCATTACGTGTAATTTAAAAACAAATAGAAATTTAATTCAGATGAACTTAAAGTCAAAATTAGACAGTTTGCACGAGCAATTGGGTTATTTGAAAGATTTGGAGTAATTTTTTAAATAATTGAAAAAGAAAACAGTATATAATTGGAAAAAGAAAATTTCAGAATTTTTAAATAACATGTTGCTCCATTGGTGTGGGCAAGTTGTTGGAGCAAGTGATTCGCTAATTACTTGGAGCAATTTCACGCAACGCAAGTACTATGTTGTCATTAAAAACACGGAATTCATTCGGTTTTTTGTTTTTTCTTTTTTTCAACCAACGGAAACAGGGACAGTTGGCGTTGAGAAATCTCGATTTTTTGTTCAATCGAGTTCTACAATTTTCACGAAATTAGACCATACTTTTTCCAGAATTTTGCAATCGACAAATAATACGTGCACGCCACCTTTCGAATTGGACCTTGTAACCGTCTAATACACGAAACCTTGCACTTTCTAGCTTTTATCAATCTTTCCACAAATTCCCCGTTGCAATCCGTGATATACAAACGACTTATTTGTTATTCGTGAAAAAAAAAAAAAAAAATACGTTTTGTAGATCTATGTCAATGACACGCACGCTGAAAATTTCATCGAAATCGGTTAATGTTTCTACGAGCTACAAACGGTGAAAGATTGTGAAAATCGCAGTATCACGACTTTCAGCGTAAAACTGTAATAGATCTGCAGATTCTTACATCTTTCGATGCTTGTCGCTTGTTTCTCCATCCACCGATTTCGATGAAATTTTCAGCGTGTGTATCATTGACATTGATCTACAAAACGTATTTTTTGAACCTGCTTCGACGGAAGTGGGTCGTTGGCACTGGGTCAGTGTGTCGATCCCGACCTTTCCAGGTAATCCGAAACAGCTGATGTTACGGTCGCCCGTCCCTGAGCGCTGGCTCTACGGGCGCTGTGATTGGCCAGTGTTTTTCGTTAATAACTCGAAAACGAAGCTTCAAACTACATTTTGGATAAGGAAAAAGTTATTCCCAGAGTTACGGGACACCCTGTATATTCGGTTTATCTCAGAGTACGGAAGTATCTCGAAAACTACGAATGATACAAAATCATGTGTCAGACGAAAGTTGCAGGGTATAAAAGGTGACATATTGTTCTGGTATTTTTTTAAACCTTGCAACAAGCTTGAAAAGCCCTGTAATGGTCATGCCCTAAGTTTTTAAGTGGAAACATATATTTTTGATTGTGTATTCTTGTAGCTGGCATCGATAAGTTACTTGTGATTTTTGCGAAAATTATTATCGAGATATCAGCTTCCAAGTTTTACATGCCGCCGGCATTAGCATTACTCACAGATAAAGATGTTTTTCATAATGCTACTACTAGTACGACATTGCTAGAACATAAAGTCGCAGTTTTCCAATGTTTTCAAAACACTGTCCGACCGAATAACCTCCCTGTAGTGTAGATCGAGTAACGCTAATGCCGGCGATATGTAAAACTTGGAAGCTGACATTTCAATAATAATTTACGCAAAAGCTGCAAGTATGCAGTCTTTCGAAAACGCTTCGATGTCGAGCTACAAGAATACATAATCAAAAATATACTTTCCTATTTAAAAACTTAAACATAACCTTTGCAGGGCTTTTCAAGGTAAAAATAATACCAGAACAATGTGTCGCCCTCTATGCCCTATAACTTTCGTTTGAAATATTTTTTGTATCATTCGTAGTTTTCGATATACTTGTGTATTCTGAGATAAACCGGACATACTGTATGAAAAAAGGAAGTTTCTTTCGAATAGGCAAACGTATTTTTTAAGGAAACTTTAATTTGCAAAATTTAAAACACGAAACATCTGATTTTTGACAATTTGCATTTAAATGCCAGCCGGGATTAAGGAAAGAGAATGAAGGTTATGAAAGGTGCATGCACCGGTCGGACATGGCCTGTCATGGCCGTCACGTAATAATAATTTACGAAAGAATAATTTTGCGTGATATTTTCTTACGACTCCGTCTGAATGTATAATGAAACAAAAATTCGTATGTTCTTTTTCTTTCAATCACTACTATCGTAAACAATACAAGACGTACGTATTTTTGTAGACCGATATATAAATAAAATTTTATTGATTCATTCGTCACGATACATCAATGTTATAAATAAATATTCTCACATAATTGTCTCATAAAATTCCACGATAAAGATTCCATAGTAAACGTTGTATAATTCTGTCTTTTGTTCATTGAGAAATTAATCAAACGGTCGGTTTAATTGTATTCAAAACAAGACCGTGTGTTTTCCCATCTTTTATTCAATAGAAATTTGCATTTGGCGCGCTTGAACTCGTTAGAGGTCGGTGATTCATCATGGCCGCCGTTAGCGTCGAGTCCCACGAGATTTTTTGATCGTGAACGAGATCACGTAGCCCATCCATGTATTCGTACGTCGTACTTTCTTTCTTTCTTTTTGTCAAAATCCTCAGACAGCGTCCCTAATGTTTCATTCGCGGATAAGGATCGCGTTATGTAAAGTTTTGCAGGAAACTGCGCTTTTCCAAGGACACTGACGTGATCGAAGACACGTTATTTCCTCTTAGACACACACAGTCTTATTCATTAAAAAAAAATTCTTCTTATATCAAGGCAATCGTTTTTGATACTTAAGAGCTAAACTGTTCAAAGGAGGTCTTATTTTAGTTATTCCAAGGTCTATGGCATGGCCAGTCAAAGGACAAGTTTGACAGCGTTTCTTCTTGCAATTTCCGTTAAAATTGCTCTTCTCTTGACGAACGATATATCGCGGGAAATAATGTATCCGTTTACGTTGCGTAGTGGCACAAGGTGGCATTGTTACAACAAGGTCTTTCTTGTGGATCCTTCCTGTATGTTCAGGAAACAATCTGTCATTTAATAAATACTGTTCCAAAGAACCAGAAGATTTGGATGATACTAAAGTGTGATTGGATCCATGAGTGTCAAAGTAATTTTGTTCGCGGAATTTCTTTAGTTCCCTCATTTCTCTTTCAGAAAGAAACTCTCTGTCACTTTCTTTTGGTAACCTGTTTGTACAAACAGTACCTTGATAATCTTCCGATTCAGTATAATTATCCCTTTGCAATACATTTTTGGAATGTTCTGGTTTATTCTTGTCACAATATTGACACTCTTTGCTAGATACTGTTTTTTTACTCTTAGTTGCTACTTTTGAACTTGGTTTAGTCTTTTTCACATCAGGTACAGAAGTTTTGGAGGAGAGAGTTCTTTTGACTAAAACTTTTGGTTTTGAATGTTTTTTCAGGGGCACGTGAACTCCTTTACTGGATCTATCTATATTTTCAGCTTCAGAGCTGGAAGATTCCTCCGTTGTTTCAGATCTTACAGGTATATATTTTGTTAGGTGATTGCTGGTTTGTGATTTTTTATCATCAGTTCTTAGCTGATGCATGGGATCAGCATTGTGTATATTTTTTCTGGCCATGAATTCATGATAATGTTGTGATCTAGAACAGGACTCTGGAGAGTCTCCTGTTGCTGCAGCTGTTTGCAGTAGGGAAACTTTACTTCTGACATTGCGCAAAAATTGGGATCTAGGTGCATAGTCTATTTTTTCTACCCTTCTCAGAGTTTCACAACTGATTGGTGAAGTTACAGTTGGTTTTTCAAAGTTGTATTCTACTGGTACTGCAGTGAAGTTAACATGACTTTTGCAGCATTTGCAAGGAGAACTTTGTTTGTGTTGTGTTCTTCTTGACCTTAGTTGAACTTTTTTAGTGTCAATATTACAATAACATTCTTTTACTGGCTTCCTACTAATATTTTCTGAATAATGTTGATTTTCAGAGTGTTTCTTTGAGGATACTAGTACTCTCTTGATGGTTGATTTATTAGGCATTGATGTAAGTGTCTGATTTGGGCTACTACAGTAATAATTTTGACATAAGGCTCCAGCAACTCCACTAGAATCATTTCTCAATTTCCATGAATTTCTTTCACCAACATGATCTCTATAATTTTCTCCAAATGACCTATAGGTACAAATCGATGTATTGTAAATTTGTGAATAATTATTGTACAATATTTGATGTACAAAAACACTCACAAATTTTGCGAATTTATTTTTTTAATTTCACGTTTAACTTTTTTAGAATTCTTATCTGCTTGCGCTAACAAAAGTCTGCTCTGTTTACGTAAATTTTCTATGCGTTTGTTTAAGCTTTCGCCCATGTAATTATGACATGTTTACCCATCACATATTGTTTTTGTAATGATCCTGAGAGTAAACTAATAAACTACGACCAATTGGTAAACTCAAATGGTGTCTTAAAAAGTTTTCAGTCATGTACAAAATCTCCCAAAATCATTAATCATCCTATCGCACATTCCCAATTTTTCTAAATCATCAACACTGCGTTCACGACTTTCAGCTCGAAAATACGACCATAAAATGTTTATTTTTATTTTATCAAGTGAAGTTTACCAAGCGTCCACTGTAAACAGAATGATGCAACACAGGCCTACCACAACAGCAGAAATCATTTTTTTCCTATATGAATTTTTTTCAAATTAAATAAAAACGATTTATTGCTTCATATTAATTTCCCGAAAATCGTTCGTTTTGATGAATTATGCAAAAGAGGGTGTGTCCTAATTATGTTTTCAAAGGGTTGGTCCTACCCGTTCGATAGACGCGGTATGGGTTTGGAAATAGTGCTTTAGTACAGCCATGTTGGAGCGACGCGTAGGACGCGGTGTACGTTACAATGTATCGTCGCTCGACGTGTATTTTTTAATTTAATTAGTCGTCTTGTGTTGTCTACCGATGTTTCGTTCCGTTATTTGCCTACGTTCTCATGCGACGCGATAAATATGAGACTGAAAACGTGATCACGGCCGGCTAATTTGTTCGTCGCTCGTGCTCGCTATTATAGGTTATAAACGCTCGCATGTTTTAATCGCGAAGGCGCATACCTCTCACTTTTAACCGCGGCAAAATGGATTTTTCTGGGAATAATATTGTCCAAGGCGCGCTCCCACAATTCTCCGAATTAACGTCTCGATCGAATTCAGTTTCGACATCGAAATTCACTAGCGGTGATAATACTCAAGTGGAGCATACAACTGTTTATACGACCGCGGCGGGACTGAATCAGGCGAAACAAAGTTTGCTGGTAAAGTTTATAGTCATTGTATTTTTATACTTTTTATTTCTTTGGTATATATTTTTTTTTTCTTCTTTTTCTTCAAGGTGAATTCGACGAACAAGTATGCAGGACCAATACTAGCATGGCCTGATCCAAACACTTTAATGCAGCTCTGTGAGAAACAAGGCCTTCAGACCATTAACATTCCTAATTACAATCAAAACAGCCCAATACTCAGTGTTCAGTCAAATAGTTTACCAGTAAGGATTATACCTAATATGTACTTGCCATCAACTTCACAGCCAGAGAACATGAAACAGGAGGTAGATATTAGGACTGAAAATGAGAAACAGACATCTACAATGGTATAGAATTTGTTTTATAGCCATCTATAAAATACTAAGGAGCTTTTGGTTAACCAAAAATTTAAATATTTCCAAAGGTTGCAAGCCACTACTCTACCATTGACATTGCAGCAATTAATTAAGCTCCAAACGGAGCAAGTGAAGAAAGAGAAGACTGAAGAGGAGAAGATGGAGCATAACACACAGAACAACATTCTGAACATTCCTAGTGTTCCAGTATTCAGAAATACTCAGTTGCAAAATGGAAATGTCTTTATGAATTCAGATCAAATGATGGTATCTATAAATCCAAACGACCTAAATGTTCACATGGATAATCAACAAGAAAATGAGAATACAGTACAGAGTATCAAAGTTGAACAGCAGATTCAAACAGACTCGCCGAAAACTGAGAAAAAAATGAAATTCCGGGCGAAAACAGGGGAAATAAAAATCAGTGTCGCTCTAGACGGCTCTACGCTTTATTGTTGTCCAGAATGTAATTTAGCATTTCCAGATAAAACGGAAATCGAGCAACATATACAAGCTCATATACAAGTATGCATCAAGTTACTTTAATATATGTAATTACAAAAATGAATACGTTTAATTAATATGATATTTATTTTACAGGAACGTAAGTATCAATGTAAGGAATGCGGTGCCATGTTAAAAAGAAAGGAGCATCTAGATCAACACATGCGCGGCCATTCTGACGAGAGGCCATTCAAGTGTCCAGTGTGTCAAAAAGCGTTCAAAAGAAACGAGCACCTAACTAGGCATTACGTTATTCACTCTGGCGACAAGAATTTCTCGTGTCCAGTATGTCAAAAAGCTTTTTCGAGGAAGGACCATTTGAACAAACATACTCAAACGCATCTAGGGATTAGGAGGAATAGAACGAAAAAAGAGCCTTTCTACATGGAGCCGAAAGACTCTTTTGAGAAAGCTCCTGAAGTATCCGCGATGCCTAAGCAAGAAGTGGGCTTCGTATTGAAGGATGGAGGCTTCATGAAACAAGAGCCTAATTTTCTCCAGTACATCCAGAACCTCCAGAAGGATCAGAATCTGATCCACACGTTCTCTTCATTTAAAGAGCAGGCGATAAAAGAGGCGAACGTGCTGCAGCAGCAGGCAGTGAACATGAACGAGATCCTGCCTCAGAATACAAGGTACTTAATGCCGTCTTAGTCGTAGATAAGCTCGTCTAAATCCAAAGCAATAAAGGCTGTTCACGGGAAACGTCGGAGGTTAGCACAAAATAGAAAATTCATTAGACATACGTTAGGAATTGGAGCGTATTCTAGAAACTTGAATATAAACGTTTGGAAGGAAAGGCAGCACTAGGAGGTTCAGGTGCAATTTAACGAATGAATTTCCATCAGGGATGGACGATGTAAATTTTCGTGAGAATCGACGGTAATCAGGTTTATCAAACCGTAACCAAGCTTCGAAACTTAGCCATTTTTGTATTTGCTTTACAAAGTGGAATTATTAGTATTCAGTGAGCAGTACCTTATATTTTGTATCCTTAGCGGACACGCCATGAAACGTAGTTAAGTTCCATTATTTGCATGAAAATAGTACCAATTAACGATGGTCCGTCACATAACCTCAAAATGAGTCTAATAGTAAGTCTAGATGAGGTCAAGCAAGGAATACCTACTTTGGTACATGAAACGAGCAACTTGCGTAAATGCACACACCGTCTGTCTTATTTAAGCTAGCTTTAAAGGAAATAGTTTGTTTACTGATTCTAGTCTATGATTATTACGACAAGGAAGATGAATATTGTATATACGAACTCGAGTCCCTCGATGAAAATATTTTTCTTTTTTTTTACGAGTTTCTTGTGTATGATGATTGTGACCTAGAGTGGAAAGTACCGTTAACAAACACGCCATTTAAGTTAACTTCGAAACGAGTACCAATAGCGAACAATATGGAAACGTACGAAGAACACGTATGAACTAGGTCTTCTAGAATTTACTTAACCGATACTTTATTGCTCTGCTCTGTTCGCCTCAACTATACAATTTTAACTGAACTATCATTGGGCGGGAACAATATTCCCGTTGTATCCGTGTCAAATGTTAGGCCCTTTTTTTTGGTCAACAATATTATGTGAAACGCACGTTCGATATAACACTGGTCAACGACGCGCTCGGTATTCGCGCCCTAACTCCGTGAGCGCTCGGCTATGTTCGTGGACTCGATCGTTTGTGTCGTACGCGCGTTCTACAAAACCTCGGTGCCGCCACAATAGCATACTGCCAATAAATGTGGTAATAAAAGTTTGTAGAATAATTCTGTATATAAGTGCTATACAAATTTTACCTGATAGAGACTCGGTAGGTACGTTGTTTGAAACTTGATCTCTGATTCGTCCGTGTTCATCTTTAACGAGTATATATATATAGCGCGTATTTTAAGTAAACATTCACCCCATCCATCATGTAAGATAATTCTTCCTGTTTTTTTTTTTAAACTTTTTCTTGCACTATATATTCGACTTATTTTTTCAGAATTTTTATCATCATTTTTTAGATCGATTTTTTTGATGGCAAAGGCAGTAGGATTTTTTACTGTAAAAAATGGAATCGTATTTTTTAATTGATCTTTTTTAGTAATTATTAGCTGCAATTATGTGTAATTTTTTGCGGAGGTTTGAGAAGTGATATTTGTAAGAAATATTTTTTGTTTCTTCTTTTTTTTTTTTTTTTTTTTTTTTTTTTTTTTTTTTTTTTTTTTTTTTTTTTTTTTTTTTTTTTTTTTTTTTTTTTTTTTTTTTTTTTTTTTTTTTTTTTTTTTTTTTACTTTTATTTTACACTTCAAGATGTTCCCATTTCTTTTGCATTGACTGAATTCCGACTCATTCTTCAAGACTCGCAGCGTTACGCATGAAAGGGTTAAGCATACTGTTCATTTCATACAAACAAATCTCCAAAGTCGAACTTATATTTAGCCTTACGTTTTGCGACTATTATATAAAAATCGTGTAAAAATTGCTCAAAAATAACTTCGAAATTAAAAACGGTAGATTGTCAAAAAAAAAAAAAAATCAATTAAAACCCCCACAAAATCAATCTGAATTTTTTTTACACTGGATACTTCAGAAAAGTACATTTTTTGAACATTTTCCAAGTATTCTTTATTTTAATGAAGGAAATAATTTTAAACGTATTTTAACTTGGTGCCAATTTTCTGACAATCTATTCAACATCTACAAAATGGAATTACTCTTCCTTGTGATGTAGATTTTGGAACTTGTGGTTGCATCATTCGATTGTGACACAAACACTATTGGAATGTCTGCTAGGCATACTCGAGATTAGAGTGAATAATTGCGAATGGTACTAAAGATAAGACTCACACCGCGTCGTAATAGAACCAAAGACTTTTGAAATGTTCGTGAGGCTAGCAGTATTTTGTCTCTTCTTCCTGAAACTTCTTTTAACTTCCTGTCCCTCTTAACCTGGAAGGGTATCGATTTAAAATGGTTTCCTAAAATCTGATGGATTTCCTGAATGGAAAAATGAAAAGAAATGAAATAAGAAAAATTTACAAATTAGAATAATTTTCTGAATAGACAAAGTACTCTTAACGAAAATGATTGATCCATTAGAAAATGAAAAAAACACTAGTCCATATAAAATGACACAGCTTTTCCGGGTTAAGAATGCAGCGCTAATCTTTCCACTAATGTTAATTAAGTAGCATATAAGAGATGATGGTGTCCACATTCGTGGTAATTTCACGAGGTGTTAACAATTACGAATGGAGTATTTTAACAATGGATACGTATTTGCATCAAGGTGTTAATCGACGAGCGATTGTTATGTATAAATACGACGATAATTGCCAAAAAGAAAAAGAGAAGAAAAAAAGAATAATAGTAATGAAGATGAGGTAACACATGTATTTTTCAGACCAAGATATTTTTGAATAAAACAAGTGTAAAGAAATGGATCTGTTCGTCGGTTACTTTTATTACCTGAGGATTCGTCGATGTAGATCATATTTTTCCAATATGGTTGCCAATGAGTATGAAGAGTTTAGAAGTAAATTTTGGAAGCCAAAGGGTTTATTTTTCCAGTAGAAATTGTTTATTAAAATAGTCGGTAGTAATTATAGTACAAAATTATCACATATTTCGTTTACTGAGCGTTAACCCTTTCGTTACTAAAGGTGACTATAGAGTGGCCTAACAAAACTGTATTATTAAACAATTCTAAAAATTTGATTATTTTGGACAGGAATTTTTTTATAATTCGATCTATTAATTTGAAATAGCTCGAATAGAAAACTAATAATTTTCATAATATGATGAAGTAGCATAATGGTGGGCAGTTATGTCGCACTGAAAGGGGTAAACACAGTTTGAGTAGTTTTTTGTTTTTACCATTTTCTTGATACAAAAAAATATTCAAAAATGAATACATTCTAACAATTAATTGACACGAATGGTGGTATTATTGTTAGAAAGAGCTCTGGCTAGTTTAGAATAAACCCCATAGGTGATTCCCAAGAGGGAACCAAGCCAATCGACAAGATGGCGGCTGATCGTGACCGGAAACTGGAAGTTATTCCTCGGAGTGATCACCTCTACGTCTCGATTTTTATCAAATTCCATCTCTTCTTCCAATTCCAATGGCTCCAGAGGTTCCAATGGTTGAATATGATTAACCCAATCCTCGTTCATCCCTAAATATATCCTTTGAGGTTGAAACTTCTTTGATTCTTCTCTGTTTCGAGACATTTGTTGCATTTGATTGGACCAAATTAATTTTAAAGCTTCCACGTCTGGATCAGGTGCATCCTTGGCCAAAATTTTTTCCACGTTACTCGTGTTCTCTGGCTTTCGAAACACGAAGTCGTACGTGGCTCGCAACTTCCCAAGAAGCTTGTCCAATGGTTTCGTATCGTTTTTACTGGAACCTTGCTGAGGGTTAGCTTCTTGGATTACCGGGAAGAGCTTTGTTATCTGTGGCTTCGACTGCACTCTCGACGCGGAGAGCTGAAATGTAATTTTTTTTTTTCGTTTAAAAGTTAATATTTTAGGAAAATTAATTTTTTTGAATTTATTTTGGGATATTTGGGCTTGGAAATTTGTAGAATTGTAAGTTTTGCACTTTAGTGATTTTCTGTGGTTGGAGAATTTGGAATTTGGGGGATTTTAAGCTTTTCTGTAATTTCAATTAAAAATTTTTTCTTTTTTATTCAAATTTGGAACATTGTGAAGTTTTTTATTCGCAGAAAATTTTTCAAGAGATTTGGTATTTCCTAATTTTCGTGACTGGTTTGAAATTTCTTCTTTTTATTCAATTTTGAAATTCTGCAAAATTTTATATGTATTTAGCAATTTTTACGATTCCCGAGAATATTTCTAGAGAAAATTATTCCACTTCCTGCATATTTCTCCGCGAAGCTTTGCATTTCGCATTTTCATAATTTCCCTGCGTTCCTCCTCAAAGAAAGTTCTTCGAAAGGATTACTTTGAATTCCCAGTTAAAACATCGACAAGACGAAGGTTCTTCTCGCCTCCCTCCCTCTGAACGTAACTAACGAAAGCATGGCGATTAAACGAAAGCGTGGCTGCAACAGATTGCTCCTCGCTAGTATTTCCCTTTGAATTCCGTTACTTTAATCGAGCGCAGCGTCCAGAAATGAATTCCTTGTCGAAATTAGAAGAACAATTACTTTAATTCGTAAAAAAGGGAAATAAAATGAAAAAGACCGAGCTTTCAATTTGTACCACTCTTGTAACATCATACCCACTTCCAATTTTCGCGTTCAATTGAACTCTTCACTTCCAATCCAGCTATTTGAACCAACTATCCATCCCACACATGTAGAATTTAAACGAAATTTGATATTCTTTATCTGGAATGGTGGAAAAGTAGAACGAAAATGGAATTTTCGAAATGGAAGAAAAATTTAATTTTTCAAATGGAATCGAATTATTTTCTGTTTTTTCTTTAATTTGAACCAACTATCCATCCCACACATGTAGAATTTAAACGAAATTTGATATTCTTTATCTGGAATGGTGGAAAAGTGGAACGAAAATGGAATTTTCGAAATGGAAGAAAAATTTAATTTTTCAAATGGATTTTTTTCAATTTTCTGTTTTTTCTTTTCTTGTTAAATTTGTACTCACGCAGAAGAGGCAGAACGCAAGCAGCAGAATTTTCATGACGTCCAAAGTTCCCTTTTCCACTCGATTCTTTTCATCGAAGGCGAGGCAACGACTGAAGGACCCATTGATTTCAAAATCCATTTATACCAGCGTGCAATACATCGGCGTAGAAGCTTCGACGCGTCTAATTCGATCATACCAGCTGCCCTATTGTCTCTTGTCCGCGCCTTTGCCTTCTGGACAAATCATTGACACGATGTTGCCCAACGAAATCACTATTCGTAGCACGTATGGCTGCTCCTCAGGCTCTGCCAGCGCATATTGTTCGAGCAATAAACAATATCGTGCCGCGGGTCAAGGTGGATTGGAAAAATTTCGCGGGAATCTTCGCTTGGGATGGCTCGTGTAGAAAGTTCGACGGTAAACCATGTTTTCGTTACTTCTAAGTGGATTTCATATTAATATTTTAGTCTTGAAATTCAAATTTGATAATTGTTTGATCATTTCGAAAATTTTTACGTCCAAACTATTCTTTTTTTTGTTTATTGAGGTGTTTATTCTTTTTTTTTTTATTTTGTAGTTTGATTTTAGAGTTTGGTTGCTTAGTTGATGATTTTCGTTCGAGTTCAGGTGCTGCAGGTATCTTTTAATTGCAACTTTTATGCAATTAAAATGAGTTTTGTTAATTAAAAATTTATGGGTGTGAAGGTTTTTTTTGTGAATCATTTTGTGGTTGGATTTGTCGTGTTAAGATTAGTATTACTGGGAAAACGTGTGAATCAATGTGGTATCGATTTGTTACCAAAAAGTCGAGCATGATTCAACCTCATTGTATTCGTGGTTGTTGAGTCATAATTGCATGTTACTGTGGTCTGGGAATGTTTCTGTTTGGAGTGAGATAAGTTCACTGACATTTGATATTTTTATTTAAAATAAGTAGTCTGTCAAAAGAAGTTATTGATCAGAATATAACTGAGGTTTGTTGTAGGTTATTAGGTACCGAAAAAAGTTCGTTCAGTTCATTGGTTAGTAATAACAGCAAATCGAATTTCGTGCGCTAATTGGAAAATGTAACGCATGAAATTGGTTTCAGTTGAAGGTTTGATCTTTGCAGTTGATATATACATTGCTTTACTATTTTCAATTGTTTCGACATTTCGTTGCTTCTGTGACATTAAACATGGATAGCGAGGGGTTAAAAATTTACGCGTTTATATTTTACGAGTTTGAAGTTGGAAGTACAGCGGCAAATGCAGCAAGACGCGTTTGTAGTGTATGTGGCGAAGGTGCTGTTAGTGAAACGACAGCATAAAAATGGTTTAAACGGTTCAAGGAAGGAAACGAATCGTTAGATGACGAGCCGCGTTCAGGATGTCAGATGGGAAGTTTTACCTTATCTTCCTTGCAATTCCGACCTACAGTGATGAACAAAAGTATTGGCACACTATTTAAAACGTATATAACTTTTTTAAAATTGGACCAAACTACTTGAGTTTTTTTGAGAAGTTAGAACGATTAGTTTACTAGATGACGTGTGAAAAAATTTTGCGAAAACTGCAATTGTCAGAAAGCACTCTGACTCGAAGTAGGGTGGGCGTAAAATTAATTGAACGTTTCTACGTTTTGACAATAGTATATGTTATTCAAAGTCTGTATCCACGTTATTCGGGCGTCGTTCGCAAAAGTATACGTTATAAGGGTCTCGTGAAGAGCGAGAACGCGTCGTCCTGCCGATCCCTGTCCACCCCTACGCGAACAGGCCCAGGGAAAGACCCAAAGGGGCGGAGTCACCCCCACCGAGCGTACTCTGACTCGAAGTAGGGTGGGCGTAAAATTAATTGAACGTTTCTACGTTTTGATAATAGTATATGTTATTCAAAGTCTGTATCCACGTTATTCGGGCGTCGTTCGCAAAAGTATACGTTATAAGGGTCTCGTGAAGAGCGAGAACGCGTCGTCCTGCCGATCCCTGTCCACCCCTACGCGACAGGCCCAGGGAAAGGCCCAAAGGGGCGGAGTCACCCCCACCGAGCGCGCTGGGCCTGGCTTCAGGATGCTCGCTTCACCGTCTTCGGGATGGATTTTCTCACAGCAATTAGTCGGAATCGCGAAGAAAATAGCGAAGGTCGCTTTTTACAACTTTTTTTATCTGAGCTCGTAATGAAAATTTAAAAAATACGTTTTGTAGATCTGTCAATTGTACACACGCTGAAAATTTCGTCGAAATCGGTTAATGTTGCTATGAGCTGCAAACGGTTAAAGATTGTGAAAATTGCACTATTTCACTAATAAATCTGAAGATTCTTACATTTTTCGATGCCTGTCGCTTGTTTCTCCGTCCACCGATTTCGACGAAATTTTCAGCGTAAATCTACAAAACGTATTTTTTCAATTTTCATTAGGAGCTCAGATAAAAAAGTTGTAAAGAGCGATCTTCGCTATTTTCTTCGCGATTCCGACTAATTGCAGTTTTTGCAAAAATTTATTCACACGTCATCTAGTGAACTAATCTTTCTAACTTCTCAAAAAAACTCAAGTCGTTTGGTCAAATTTTAAAAAAGTTATATATCGTTTAAGTAGTGTGCCAATACTTTTGTCCATCACTGTATCTCCATTTGCTTTTATCTATGTCGAACTTTCGGGCAAAGAGGAATTTAAAAAATGATGTTGAGGTCGAAACAACGATTAATTCACTTTTTTAAAGTAAAACTCAGGAATTTTATAAGAAAGGAACGTCTAAGCTTATGGAAGGATGGGAAAGATTTGTCGAATTAAAGGGCGATTACTTCGTTGAATAAAGTTACGTTTTAAAAAGGATATAAATTTTACTTTAATAATCCGCAGGAACCTTTTCCGGTACCTAGTATTAAAAAATTTTATTGAGTATTGATCGTACAGTAATCTCACAAATGCACGTCGATGTTCTGATCGATAATTCTTATTTAATCTTTCTGACGATTTCTAATCGATCAATTCTATACATTCTGTTTACTTGAACATTTAATAATATGAATTTTAACACTGGATTAATTCAGTCTTAATCCATATATGCAAAAGTCAATGTAGAAATCTGATATACTGTTTTAAAAGAACAATGTCCGCCATATTGGTCCCACGTAGATCTTCCAAGGATCTCAGAAAACTTCTAAAAAATTCTCAGTTTCAATTTACAATTCACTTACAATGTTTCAGAACCATCTACTCCCCAAAATATTCAATTTCAGTCAGGAAAGCAACGTATCCAAATTAATTTAACGTAATAAAAAAAAAAAGAATTTATATACAGGGTGCGTCAAGAATCGTGGAACAAGCGAGGATAAGAAGTTTACGTATTTTCCGTAACAATAAATTTCCTTCAATTTCAAATAGTTACAAAAACACAATGGTTTTTAAAGTAAATTTTCTAGTTCTTATTCTTATCGTTCTTTTTCCTATTCAGAGTTCCTATTTAAAAAAGTGCAGGTGTCATGCTTGCCTTTTTCCTGGTCTTTCCTTTCAGTATGATAAATTATGAAGTTCGGAGTAACTTTTGTTACATATTATTTAATTTCAACTTATTTTACCACGAAGAATTATCCTCGTTTGTTCAACAATTTTTCGCGTACCCTGTATATTCGAGTGTCATTAGTACAAGCAATTATGACGTGTAACGCAAAGGCAACAGTGGTCTAAGTTCCTTGCTGAGTATGCTGGAAGAATTGTCGAGGTCCCGAATAGCCTGTGAGGATCTCGTTTTCGCGTCGTCCCTAGTCAGCTCGTTTCTTTCCAGCATCTTGGTGAGGATCTTCATCAGTTGAGGCCCGACTCCACCCTCGGCGGAAGTTTCCAATGTATTCAGAACTTCGTCGGAGTATCCGGTGTATTTACCGAATCCCTGTTTCCTCGCGTCTTTGCTCAACGAGTCGTACAGGCTGGCCAATTGTTGAAGAGTGGCGCTTGGCGGCACCTTCGAACGCCTCAGGTAACTGGACAGGCTTGGCCTTGGCACTTGCGTCACCTTCTCACCTAAACGCGTGAACCTACGAGAGGAATGATTAATAAGAAGGTTCTTTTACGTCTGTTATATAGGGTCAGAATATCTTTATACCGGGTGTCCCAGTTTTTTTTGGGCGAAACTTTGTCAGCTTGTTCTATGGATATAAATAAGAAGAAAATGTTATATAAACATAGATCGTTTGAAGCTTCGTTAAAAAGTTATAGCAAAAATAGGAAGTACGAAGGGAACTGATTTGTGATTACTGGGACACCCTATAGGTGCTGTTTGTGTTTAGTGAGGAAATAGTTTGTAGAAATTTGGTGAATAGAGTGTGTTAGAGGTTTTGTTTATTGTTTAATTGTTGGATATACAGGGTGTCTCTGCTAAATTGGTGGTGCAATGTTTGACATTGATTTATTCGGGAATGAAGTTCCGTATGTAAAAATGTTACTCTATATTTTCGACTTTTTTTTTATGTAGATTTGGTTATTTATCAGTTTGGAGATACCAAACTGAGTTATTGTTGAATTACCTACAAATTCTTCAATAAATCTTCAGTTTTAGTTCTTCAGTTATTCTTGGATTCTCAAGGTATCTTAACCCAAAATAATTGTATCATATTATTAAACAATTAAAAAAAAAGTTATTATCGAATAATTTCTGTTTGTGCTTGAGTTGTGTGCTTATTTCGTGTTCGATCGAGGTAACTGAAATAAGTTACATTTACGTTCTCCATTGGGAGTTGGATTTTTGATTTTGTAACGAAGTGATATAGGATTTGTACTCGAGGCAAGCATAACTTTCTATGTATAATACATTTAGTTGAGCGAAGTTTCGGGCCAGGCTCAAATCGATTCCAGCAGTGAACACTGATATTCTTGTTGGCGCCGCTGTATTAAACTCTGTTTATTTTGCACAAAGTTGCATAAAGTAAAATCTACAACCGAATGGATGCTCATCGGATATCACAGTTAAATGGAAAACTCGATACTCTATATAGTATCAATACCATTCTAAATTGATATTTAAGTATGAAAATCTTCTGTTGTATTATATTTCCAAGAATAAGTATGATTAGTACTGAAAATAAAGTTGTCCACTCATCGGTATTATTAAAAATTGGTATTTGACTATCTAAATCTGAAGCAGTAAAACGAGTACGAAAATATACTCTCAGAATTTGCATAATTTCGAAAAGAAGTGTAAAATAGAGAAACCCCAACAAGTTCCAAAAGAATCCTCAAAAATAGTCGATTTAATTCCTCCAAGAAGGTCAATTTTCCAATTGTTGAATATTATCCAAAATTAATGCTCAATTTATCAAATTTTTAAAATATTTCGAAAACTTCAATTTTGGAGAATATTTCCAAACTAAAAGAAAAATGACAAATTACAGCAATTGTGGCAGAAGAAGTTCTCAACAAATCCTCAAGAGATAAAAGCTTCCCTCATTGCCCTTTCCCCTCTCCTAAAAAAAAACTTTTCAACAGAAAGTTCACCTGGTCTCGTCGTCTTCATCCTCCACGTTCTCTGTCTTGTCCACGGGGACTCCCAGTACGTTCTTCGACTCTCCAGAAACCTCCGTCACATCCTGATCCACGAATTTAGACGGAGTAGGTTTCAGGATCTCGTAGACATCCTGGACCACGCTGTCGATAGTTGGTTCCTTCTTCTTCTCTTCGTTTTCATCCATCGATTCTCGATTCACAGACGAATCTGTGGGTTTACCCATGGCTGTCACGATTTCTGACCCCGTTTCCACGTTACCATGAGACGGGATCCATTCTTGATTCTCTTCGGGGACTTCTTCGTTTGTTTCTTGCACAGCGTGCACGTCTTCCGCCATCTCGTAATTCATCTCCGGCGTAGCGTAGTTTGTTTCTGGCGTCTCTTCATTCACCTCTGGCGATTCTTGATGCACTTGGGAATTGGATTCTTCGCCAATTTTCTCCAACTTCGACGTTTCTTCTATCTTGTCTTCCGACTCCTCTAGTTTGTCTTCCAATGCTTCTTGCGTTTCTTGTCCCTCCATTTTGTCGTCTAATCGTTCGTCTATCTTGAATATTTTGTCCTCTGACGAGTCTTGCACCTTCGTTTCTTCGATTTTTTCTTCTGACGGATACTGAAGTTGATCCTTGAAGGATTCCTCTACTTTGTTTTTCGACGACTCTTCTGTTTTATCTGTGGATGCTTCTTCTATCTTATCTGTGGATGCTTCCTCCGCTTTATTTCTTTCTTTCTCTTCATCTTTAGCTTTGTCTGAGAGTGTTGCTGATGTAGTTGTGGTTGAGGAGTACTGAATAGTCGATGGTTGATTTTGAGCCATATGGGTAATTGGAGAAGTCAATGAGATTCTCATGGTAGTGGAGCTCTGTGAAGTTTCCTCTGATTGGAGGAGTTTCAGCTGATCAACTGCGTGGAATATTACCTGGTGGGATAGAATAGAATCTTTTTTATGCGAATTTTTGAAGATTGAAAATTCATCGCTTTTCGATTATAATTTTTATTTATTACGAACTGAGAATAGTGTTTTAATAATATTAATCGTACCCGTCAATAGTGTGTTATACTTGACAGAGGAAATAAAAATATACAAATTTTCTCGGTAACAATTTTTATCAAAATTTCATCGAATCAAGCAGCAATGCTTTATCAGAAAATTTCCTTTGAAACTCACCTGCATGGCTGCTGGAAGATAAGAGTTCGAGTACACTGGCTTCGCAAAACTCGGTGGATTTCTCACGATTCCGCAGCTCGCCTGAAGCAACAAATTTGAATTAATCTTCAAGATCCGGATATCTCCGAAACTCTCACTTCTACCAGAGTGGTAATTCGATCCGATATTCCATTGTTTTACTATCTGAAAATGTGTCTGAAGAACGATATTTTGAACGGGAGCAACGACTTTACGGTTACTTAGAGGGACAATTAGGGGAGAGGAAGTTCCAGGACCAGAAAATCGTCAGACAGGATCCCTTGGAACGGAAAAACGACACGAGAAGCGGCTTAATACTCGAGTGGAACTGTCGCGGGAGTTAATTAAAACTCGACCTTTTATCTGTGACGAGGTAAGTAACTTTTTCCTTTCCACTTTTTGCTACGTAGCGGGTGGAGAGTTCCTTTTTTATTTGAAAACTGCTGGATGAGATGTACTGGCGCAAACGGGGATGTTGGAAACAGCTTGAGAGGAGAATCGGTGAAAATAAGACTTAAATTGCGAGAATGTTAGAACAAATATTTTATTTTGAACGATTTGTGCGGGATTATTTTACAGTGATGTGAATTGCCATTAATGTGTAATCTTTTTCTTTATTATGAATGATAATTTAATTTTTTTTTTTTGTAACAATTATTCAAGCATTTTTATTGAATTTGTAGTTTATGTTATTCAAATTGATAATTTGTGACATGATTCATACTATTTCTTTTGCGTTTGTAAGCTGTTATTTAAATTGTAATTCATTTTTGTTCACCTGAGTTTGGAATTTTAGTTAATTTTGTATTTTGAATTAACGTGGTTTAATTACAATTTTGTTCTCCTCTTTGGAATTTGAACTTTCAAGCATAATTTGTTCTTTTAAATTAATAACCTGCTCTGTGGTAGAATTTTTAATATTTCTTGGAGATTTAAAGTTCTCCTTTTCTTTCACAATCAAAGATCTACAACTTCATTCATAATTCTCATTTCACAATCTGATATTTCGAACATAATTCATAATCTTTACAATGCTTATTTTCTGGAATCTAAAATCCACAAAAAAAAATTCTCACCTGTTGAAACAGTAGAATCACCAAAACACACCCAACAGCCTTCATCCTGTCGAATCCTCGAGTAGTAAATCTTCCAAATATCTCTCCAAATGTTTCTTCTAATTTTTCAAAGAAGAAGAACAATTCTTTCTTCGTTTTTCTTGCACCTCTCGAGTGTCGAAGGAATTACTCTCGATTGAAATTTTGAGATACCATTGAGTTTTCTCTTCTTCTGAAGAAGAAAAAAAAAAACAAAAAAGAGGAGTCAATCAGTCCGCGCCAGTCGGTCGCCAAATCGCAACTGGACAATCGAACCGGTCCAGGCGTCGTCGGTTTTCCTTCACGACGGATCAAGGTTCGCGTTCGAGCGTCGCTGCGAGACTGGTCTCGAAAAGGCTCGTAACGGTTCCAGCAACGCACACCTACATTCTAAGACGGTGAACACGCGCGTAAAAGAGCCAACGAAAAGTATTAATCGAGGAGGAAGAAACAACGTCGTTCGCGAACGCGTGACACTTGATTTAAGTTACAATCGGTATGCGACGCGTGTCAAACCTTCGTTTCCCGCTATGCAGCCCGTAGTTCTAACTCGTTTCCTCGTGGAGAACGATCGATCGATGCTACCTTTCGGGATTTCTTCGTTGGTGATCCTTTTAGACTGTAGACGTTTTGTGTAGTATGGATAATTTTGACGATTTCATGATGTCAAGACATTCAGTTGAAGATTGGAGACTCTTACTTTAGGTAATTAGAGATCAGAGATTTCTGATAAACACTATGCTGCTACCTTTGAGAAGATTTTGTTTGTAGTTGGTAGCGATTCTATGTGATGATTTTGATGATTTGACGATGTCAAAACTTTCAGTTGAAGATTGGAAACACTTACTTTAGGTAATTAGAGATTATTCAGAATCAGATCAGAGATTTCTGATGAAAACTATGCTTCTACCTTTGAGGACATTTTGTCGGTTGTTGGTGGCGATTATATGCCATAATTTCGATGATTGCAGGATGTGGAAGGTGAAAATTTGTCAGTTGAAGATTAGAAAAGCTTATTTTAAGTAATTGCTAATTATTCAGATTCTCAGAAGGGATTTAGGATGAAAACTATGCTTCTACCTTTGAGGACATTTTGTCGGTTGTTAGTGGCGATTATATGCCATAATTTCGATGATTGCAGGATGTGGAAGGTGAAAATTTGTCAGTTGAAGATTAGAAAAGCTTATTTTAAGTAATTGTTAATTATTCAGATTCTCAGAAGGGATTTAGGATGAAAACTATGCTTCTACCTTTGAGGACATTTTGTCGGTTGCTGGTAGCGATTATATGCCATAATTTCGATGATTGCAGGATGTGGCAGTTGAAGATTACAGATACTTACTTTAGACAATTAGAGATTACTTATAACCACATCAAAGATTAACTTAATTTTGAACGAATTGATAATTGAACATAGGAATTTAAGCATCGTACAAGTACACATTCGTTTTGTTACATTATACACGAATATTTAATTCATTTAAGAAAAAAATTAAAGTTTAAAGTTTTGTGAATATTTTTTTACTCTCCATTGGATTTTCTACATCACCAAAGCTACATCACCAAAAAAATATCTTTTTACTATCTCAGTTTATGCACCAACCCCCAAAAGTTATCCTGCCTAAAAAAAGAAAAGAAAATGAAAGAAATATGTAACCAATTCTAACCCTCTATTGTCGAGACACCGTTTTTGGGACGTAAAGTCCGACACGGAGTCTACGAAAATCCTCAACTTCCGGTTAGTTTATACATAAATATAGAACATTTCTGACAACTTTCCTTACCGATTTACCTTTATCACATATTTTCCTAATGAACGTTATAGAATAGAGCGAATTTCATGTTAATATAATAACGTTGAGTTCTAAATAGAACGGAAGAAACCAAAAAGGTCTCTGAGACTCCGCCTCGACAGTAGAGGGCTAAAGATGAAATCCACAATTCATTACCAATATAAAAGATCAATTCCAAAAGTGGAACATTCGACTGTACAATTGATTTCCTCCTCATGTCTTCAAGAATCTGAAACGTTGCTTTTTCCTTTTCGATTGGTGGCTGATTATTTATTTCGAGATCGCTTGGGTATTCGCGTAATGCGTTCGAGCGAGAGTGAATCACGGAGAACAATCAAGCGATCGGGACTTTCGTTCTCGGAAAGACTGCGTCCTTGCACAAGGCCGCCGTGACGATTTCACGGGGGAGTAGAGAAAAAGGTCGAGAGTCTGATGCACGCTCAAGGTGATTCGGTTATGCCTCTTGGCTGATCAGAATCGGGAAAAGGCCGACCGGTTCCTTGAGACAATCGCCTCGGGCATTCGCAATCGAGTATTGCCGCTTCGAAACGTCAAATAAGTCTTTGCTTTATTAATTCTTGCGTCTGAAACTCTTTTCTTCCACCATTAACTGCGATACGTTAATGAAGTAAACATCTGAAATTGTGAATTGGAAAAGCTTCATTTTCCATTGAAATTTCCTTCACCTCGTGCTGTGAAATATTAATTAAATAAGAATCTGAAATTTGATTAAAAGCTTTCATCCGTAAAACTTCCATAAGGTTTTTCTTCTAAAGTCTTCTTTCCCTGACACAGAGATTTCACCTAACTCCCCGCAATTAATACCAATTAACTCGATTAAAATAAATCATCGTATCGATGAAAGAGAAAATCGTTATCTTCACACTCATTCTTCAAAAAATTTCTTATTCTCGCAATCAGAATCCACGTTAATAGTCTTTCTGCTTCACTTAAACTTCCGAAATCTCCGTATAGTTTCAAGAATCGACCGAGCAGTCGGCGAGAATCGTCTTTCGTTGAATGAAATCCTTCCTCCAACGATGAAAATACGTGTAACAAACGGAAGTGAAGATTACGTGAAAGAACGAGCGCTCGAGTTTCACTGAAACAGTGATAGAAAAGACGCGTGGAAATTTGGTACGCGTGCGGCAGGCATAATTTGGTAATTGTGCTGTTATCTGGAAGCTATGTGGGTACCATCATTCGATAAAGGGAATTCCGTGTAGAGGAAATGGTATATAGTAAAGCTAACAGTTACAGCAACCACACGGTTGTATCTCGATTATTGCGCTTCGTGGAAACAACTGACTCCTCGAAACGCGTTTCCCACTCGTCAAGTATCAGAATCGGCGGAGAAGTAAACGCTTCGAACAATGTTCTCGGTTGTAGTGTTGGTTTTGATGGTAAGATATTTTGGATAATTTCTTTCCTTCTTTTTTTCTTAAGGAATATTTGAGACTTTAATTTCATTTTTCTGAAGTGACATGTTTTTATCATTCATCATATGTCCATAAAATTGATAGAAATTTTCTGCTATTTATTGGGATATTTTGTAATTCATTGTGATTTTAGAGAATTATTATAAATATTTGAGATTTCAGCCTAATCGAAGATTGAGTTTTTGAAGAATTCTTCAATTTTTGTGTAACACTTATCCAATTTTTCTCGAGTTGTGAGAATTTTTTATGATCTACCATGTATTCGTGAAAGTGATAGAAATTTAGTGCTATTTATTAGGATTTTTTATTATTCATTGTATCGTCACAGAATTATTATAAATATTTGACACTTCGGTATTCCTAAAATTTATGGAAAATCCTGTTTATGAAATATTATTCAATTTTTGTGTGGCACATCCCATTTTTCTGAAGTTATACGAAGTTTTTATGATTCACTGTGAATCCATGATATTTTTGGGAATTTTGTGTTATTCATTAAGACTTTTCATTATTCGTTTCGCCCTCAGAGAATTGTATTAAATATTAGAGATTTATTAGTCTTCGTGGAAGTCGAACATTGTGCCTTTGAGGCATTGCACAATTTTTCTGTGATACGTATTCATTTTCCTTTGAATTTATGAGAATCTTTCTTATTGTTTAGTGCACCTTCAGAAAATTATTAAATATTCTATTATTTATTCATATCGTGCCTTTATAGAGTATTATTAAGTTTCTCTTCTATTTATCACACCTTCGTAAAATTAAATATTTCTCCGTATCAATTTATTTGTCCCTTTTCCTTTTTTGAAAATTGAACGTTTAGGTGTGTGGGATACACGGAAAGCCCATAGATCGGTTGACAGACGATCGGGCTAACAAGATCGATAAAGAAGGGAGACTAACAGAAGTGGAGATAGTAGACGAAGATGCCACTGTGACGTCAACTTTGAAAGACGGAGTAAATCAAGGTGTAAGTGTACCGATGGTAATAGTTGTTCATTCAACGAGTATAGATTTGCAAAGTACAGGTAGATTCGCAGGATTCGTACACGATAAAGCACTCAAGTTTATAGCCTCCTATTCGTAACGATAAAATAAAATAAAATACTTCCTCGTGAACTATAAATCGTGTTTTATGCTCTGCATAACATGGACTATGAAACCAGCATAACGAGAGTATCTTTATCTGTTTAGAGAGAATTACCGTGGTTGCCTTTGAATTTTTCTAGATCTGATAGACTTGCCTCAGAACGTCAAGATCTTAAAAGAAAAGTAGGAAAAGGAAACAAGAAGTATAAATATTAGAGTTCTTATTTTCTTCACAAATACTTCATTCAGAAATGCAGAATGCAAGTAAAAGGCTTTTTTAACATTTTTAGAAAAAAAAAAAATTGCGTATGATTCAGAATTGTAAATCCTGAAGTTTAGATTGTAAATCTGTTCCTTGTCTGCAGTTACACCATTGCAAATGATTAATACTTGCATTATTCTCATTTCTCATTCTACAAATTTCTCCATTTTATAGGTGAAAAAGGAATCAAAAATTTCAAATATAATCTACGATCTCGTAATTCTTCATTTTTAAGAGATACTTCTCAATTCTAGACAATTATAAAATCGTTACTCCAACTATTCGATTAATCAACTCAAACAATTCAAGCAAACTCAATTCAAAATTCTTTTTTTCCTACAGCTCGTAAAAATCTATTTTAGAAATGATTTTTATTATAATCAATATTATGTCACGAAAAAAAAAAAACAGAGAAAGATATATTTTATTATTTTGCAGTAATTATACAAATCTATGTTACAATGATTTTTATTATAAAAAGAAACTGTATAAAATTCCTTTTTTATATAACCTACGAAATACTCTACTTCTTTAAATTCCCAATTATATGAATTTCTCTTAATTGGAAAACCTCTTGAACCATGATATTCCAGTCAGAAACCACCACGGCGAAACCAAGTTTCATCACCTGGTTCTTAACACCGTTAGCACAAAATCTTCAAATCAACCCTCAGAGTATCCAGAATAGTGTGACTCAGCTGAAAGAAATATTGAGCAATCTTGGCTTACGTGGTCGTGGGGAAATAAAAGGGAAGCAATTAAGCAACGCGAATAATTTATTGCAACTAGCAGGAGTGAACGATTCCGGATTCTACACGAATAGATTGGATCCAGCTGGATTTTTCGGCGGAAATGGTTGGTTGGCGAATAAAGGAGGAATCTTAGGCGGACCAGGAGCAATTCTTTCCACTGGCAACGTCCTCACTGACTACCCTACTGCTTACAGGCGGAAGTAGAACCACTTCTTAAAGCTCGTTCCTTTGGAGAACGGTTTAGAACACCATTTGGTGATTTTTTTTTTTTACCGAATGTGAAGAATAGAGGATTATTAACTTCTTCAAGGACACGTTTAGTTTGTTTGAAAATTACAATATTCGAGGAGTTAAAATGGTGAACGATGAAAATTAAAATAATTTCAAATGATTTTCCCTGAGGTGAAAATTTTCAGTATAAACGAGAAACGTGTGTTTCTTAATTTTGATTAAGGAATTAGAAACTATTTTCTAGCATTTAAGGGGGTATTCTAGTCTAGACTTTTCAAAAAAGATCGACAAAAATCGAATGTTTTTACATTTTCTGAAAGTAGACATTGGCAGAAGTATAACTGTCGAATGATTTTTCCGAATTCGTAAGATTGACGAAGTTGTAGATGGTTAAAGAAGACGACATGCAGTCCCCAGTCATAAGTATAAGGGGAGTTCCCCTAGCGCCGGACGCTTAAGGTTTTTCTCAAATAAATCTTTCTACCTGTGCACGCGCGAGTAAAACGCGAAGAAAACTTATTTTTATTCCTTTTGTCTCCTCTAGGAGATACGCAGAATAACGGCTCGGTGGCGTTTCAATTATTGCAGGTACAACTAACGTCCGATATTAGGTGCCGTCCGGCGTTAAGGGAACTCCCCCTACCATTCTGGTGTAACTCTAAACGTTTCCATTTCTTATACGCAGCTTTGTATGCAAATTTCCACTAACAAAAATTCCAACGTCAAAGCTGAAAAACGAATGAAAAATCTCACACTTAAGATATCACGCATAAAATATCGCTCTAACCTACCATTTTTATTACCCTCGTAGCAAACTACGTGGGAGAATTGATCTGTTTCGCGATAACGTTGCCACTGTACCGATAGTGCGCATAAATACCCATAAAATTAGCGTTACCGGTGCTCACATTTTTGAAATAAAATTAAAACAAAATTCACATAGGATTAAAGTATAATTCGGACAGTTTTGATTGTTTTCACTTGAAAATAATTGTGAACTTTCTTAAAACATGAGTAAATACGTATGCAAAATGCCGATACTAAGAAACTTATACTTTCCTTACAAAAAAATCCCTAAGAAGGACTATAAAATGACACTCTAGACTAGAATACCCCTTTGAAAAGCCATCCTTGAAGAAGTTAATGCAGAAAATGAAGAGTATAGTGATAATATCAGAATCTTTCCGCAGGTTGGAGAGAATAGTTTCAAGAGATCATGGTTGATCTGTGTGAAATGGTGAATGAAAGTGTGATTTTTTTGGGAGATTGTTTTGTAAGGAATTGTGTTTAGAAAATATTGAAACTTTTGGAGTGTTAGAAAGAGGTTTAGGTTAAACTATGAAAATTTTGATAGTTGGTTTTTTTTAAATATTTTAATTGTTGGATAAATAATGTAATAATTTTGATTAAGTAAATTTGTAAAAAATTATGATTCCATACACTTGTTATCATTAAAAATTACGAAGTTATAAAAAATAATTATCGTTGAATTTTCACTATGTTGAATTATAAAAATATAGTGCCCAATTTTCAATCATTCAACGAAGAACCCCATTCAATATCCATAATTTTCATCATTTTAGAAAAAAGTAGACCATTTAGTGTTCTCGAATAGCATTAAAGAAGTGTTTACCAAGCAATTGGTGAGAAATTTACGTTGGTAGAGTATGGAGAAGAACGAAGGAGAAGGTAAACGTTGGATATTAGATAAAGTTTACTGAAATTTCGCTATTACCGAAAGAAAAAGAGCTGGGCGAAAAAACGAGGCAAATAAAGAGAAAATAAATTGGCATCAAGAGCAAATAGAGTAAGCGAATAATTCTCGCGGAACGTACACGAAAGAAAGAAACAAGTGGTGGAAATTCTTCGTGCCTCTTAGATTCGAGAGATGAAGAAGACCAGAAGAAAGCTTTCAATAAATAAGCAGCTTTCGAGGAAAAGAGAAATTCTTTTGGAAACTGCGCATTAAGAACAACATTCAATTCTTTTTGTGTGTATATTTTTGCGCTATACCTTAATATGCCAATAATCTTGGAGATTCCCTCTCGAAGCTAATGGGAGAAGAATTTTCTTTGAAGGAGAAGAAGAAAGAAATCTGTGGGAGTTTTATTATACCACGTTACAATGTCAAAGCCTTTGTGCAATGTGTCCTTTGTTCAATATCAGTTTCATCTTCTTCAGATAAGATTCTTCTGCAAATTTTCTTCACAATAACTTTTATTCTTCAGGTAGAATAATTGTAGTAATACACAATTCTCTCAGTTTATTTTCACAAGAAGATACAATTCATGAAGCACATTCACGGACTTCAGTCATGTATAATATTTCATAGCTATTCTTCAAAAAAAAAAAAAAAAAAATTGTTAAAAATAATTATGGAAAAGTTGCATAATCTTTTAAGTAATTTTGATCGAGTAATTGTGTAGTCAGTGTTTAAATGATAATTCTGAAACTATCGGATATTTTTCTAGTTAGTTCTTTTTATTAAGTTTAATAAAGTGGATAATAGTTGGAATGAAATTACTGACATTGTTTAATGAGAGTTCACTGAATAATTCTAACAGGATAAGATTTAGAAACATAGAGAACAATTCTCTGATAAAATATTTTCCAATAAAAATTACGAAATAAATACGAAATATTTCGAAATTTTATTTGTTTTATGTTTTTTTATTTAACATCTTTATTACTTGTGCAAAAAAAAAATGAGGGCAAAATGATACACGTTACTGTCACGTAAGGGCAAGGTTAGAATAAACGAAACACGGACCACCGTTCTTGCGAAATTAATTAACAAATTCTTCCTCGTTTCATATAGCGAGCGTGATCATGTTAGAGTCGTTACGCAGAGCTGAACATTTCGACATGAAAGTTTTAACGAGCTGTCTGCGGTATCAAACTGCGATTCTCGGCATTGTGTCGCGTAATGTGCTTGCTTCCCCGCATTTTCTCTGCTCTGGATCGTTGGAAAATCCGTCGTGTCGTTGTGAACGATGTATTCGATCATTGAAAACACATCAATTCCGAGAAACCTTAAAAAGAAACATCGTTTCCGTTAAATCGAGATCTGATCCGTTCAATCCGGTCAAAGAACTGTTATTTTCGATGCAATTAAGATTGATTATCGATTAAACTGTCTCGACGGGGTAAAAATATCACTTGGAAAGCTCTGAGTCTTATTTACTCTCGTTCGAGTTGAATAAGAGTGATCACCATTTTTGTTTGCTATTACGAGGGTGTGTGAACGATTTTGTAATTTTCAGCGAAATTATGTTATTAATTTCACCCAAGTTAGTTTCTCATTGCTGTCAATAAATGTATCGAGTTTGAAAGAAATCAACGACAGTGGTAAAAAACGTGCTTTTTGAGGTGGAATGGCATATAAAGGGTGACCAATTTAAAGAGGATCCACGGACTTCTTACAGATACATTCTAAACGCTACCCCTGGAGGGGGAAAGTGCACTCTGGTGGGGATGGCGTAAAACGATCCGCGCATGAGGGCGGCAGTCGAGGTTCGTCAGTCAACCAAGTAGTACGTGTTAAGGTATTCGTGGATCGGGATGCGCGACGAACAACGTGTGCTATGAAAACACACGAAAGTAAACGAAACATAACAGAACGAATCGCGCCTAGTTCGTGTAAAGTAGTATCTCGTGTGCTAGACTGAAAGTTGGTCATAGTTCAGTCACTTGTATTCCTTCGTTTCGTTTGTTTGACTCCTGGTGTTTAATTCGAATCGAGGCAGTGGTTAATCGACCAGGACGATTCCTTTCCCTCTCGAATTGAAGCAGAAAGGGCTCGTTCTTCTCGTCCAGTGTCTCATCCATCGAGAGGAGGAAGGATGAGAGGTAAACGGACCAAGTGACACGCGGGAGGGAGACGAGAAGACATCTGAAGAAACGGGTAAGTGAGCACGTTTCGTCCTTGATACATCGCGTTTGTTGTTATTCTCGCTGGGACACGTACGCACACCACACACCTAACCTAATTCCAAAAAAATCGTGGGCGATTTATTTGAATGTCACAACCGTGCAAGCGGTTTGCAAATAAACATGGCGCGTGGTGAAAAGCGCGCGTTGTTTTGGGGACCTGAAGTTGGCTAGCTTGAGGCCCGTGCCTTCGTCGATTCGACTACGTGTATCTCGTTTGTCATAACGTCAATTTCAACGGGAAATATCAATGAGAATTATGGAGAGTGCTTGCGTAGGTGTGCGAGAAAGAATTGTTCGTGATATTAATTAAAGCGAATAGACAAGCTTTCGGTATATCGCGAGAAGTGAGTAGGCAGATATTAAGGGAAATTATGGGATTGAATAACGTGGCTTGAAATTTCATACGAAGCGATCGTTTTCGCTGGTTGGCGTCTCTACAGTTCCCAGGTTTATTTATTATTAATAAACGTCAGTGCTATTATACGCTAACCGTATAATTTGGGTTTTTGCCGGGTACTAAAGAACGAGCTGAGTTTATTGTGTTTTTACGTACGATTCTGACCAACAATCGAACGTTCTATTCATCGTTATACGTGACAGATGAATAGCTTGTGGAAAGTGCTTGCAGCATCCTAAAATATACGATGGGATTATAATCTTATTTTTGGCAGCCATTTTGATGGTTTCCTTCTGGACTGGAATCGGCCCTCCTTTTCTCTACGGGAGAAATTATATGTACGCCTTAACTTAAGTGAAATTCGCTTTAATTAGATTCATGATGAATTTGCGAAAAAGAAACTATTATCATAAAATTTCACGGTTCAAAGGCACTCTAAATTTCTTTGTTTTTCTTGTAGAAGTTGTACAAGAGCAAGTTTTCATTGCAATTTTTTTCTCCGTCTTTTCACGTCGGTATCGGAAATTTTTTCCCGCGAAACCTCTAAATTTTCCAGCGTATATTGAACGCAGAATTGCGGTTAGATTCATCTCAAGGAATAAACCCATGTTTTATGGGAAAGTCGTAAAAAATTATCAAGAGC